AAAGAAAGGAAAGACAAAGCATACCACATAATAGAGCAGATGATTTATACCACACTTAGGTTCGTGACCTGCTGGGCATTTTTCTTTCTGGATTATCTCCAGACAACATATAGATGATTAGCACAAAATATAGGTATCATGCAGCTAGAGGTATAGATAGATGTGGTTCACCCGCCGAAGTATTACCTATTGATCTACTCACATTTGCATGTTTTCAAACTGCTAGTTTGGCAGAAGCTGGGGCTGACAGCGGAACCTCACACTGCTCCCCAGATTTGAACCTGTGACCTTTTGGTCAACAAGTTTAGCAGCTCAGCAATTTAACCCATTGCACCACCAGGGGCTCCGAGGCACACAATTATCAGTAGTACTACCCTAAAGGGAGTTTCCTGTCCTATCTTGGAAGCTAAGCTGGGTAAACTCATGTTAGCACCTGGATGGGAGACTATCAATGAATTCCAGGTGTTGCAGACTATATTTCAGAGAAAGCAGCTGGCAAAAACTACATCAGAGTATTCCTTGCTTAAGAAAAATCTCTGGAAGTAATGGGATTATCATAAGTAAACAGGCAACTTTAAGGCACATTTTCATACACAAGAAATTAGAAGCTTTGAAGTTGATGGCATTATTAATTCTGTCCAGAACTCAGAAAAGTAATTGTCTTAAACTACAACTCCTAAATTTGTCCATCCATCATGCAGAGGTTATAATTCCCTACACAAGCTCTGTTTCTGCACCTATTTTGAGTCCTCAATATTCACATACTTGCTGATTGCCAAATTTCTTTTCCTTGTCCAGACAAAAAAAAATGGCATAATTTCACACTGCAAAAGAAAATGCAATGCATATATTTGCTCTTCTGGGTCTGCATATGTTCCTCCAGCTTCAGGCTTGCTGTTAATAATATAGTCCTGGTTCACAAAACCGAATTCAGAAAACTAGCCCAAACCAACATGTATTGGGTTAATCACTGTGATTTTGTCATGAACACACTTCATATAAGAGTTATACTTGCATATGTCAACTTCATGTAGTTTGGGGGATTTGACCCCCCTCGAACTCCCAAAACCTTGGTAAGTAATTCTCTTTCAAGCTTGTCAGATTTAAGTATACATGAACTATATACTCTGTGACAATGGTCCACAGAAATATCAGGGCACAAGACATGCCTACTGATTTTTTAAAAATGTTTCCATAGCAACAAGTGTTTCATTAAAAAGAATTGATTGTGCAGACTCAAAGCTCCCTTGAGAAACTATTAGTCCTTCCTTTTCTTGGTAAGAATAGGCTGTCAAATTTTAAAGCTTACTTTCTTTTACATTCTTTGTGAGAAAGTTTAATGTTTTGTAAGTGTCATTTCTGGAAAATCTGACCCACTTTGGGAAAAGTGAACTGCATTTGAATGTTTTGTATGTGTAACATTTGTTCTTTGTTTTAAAAAAAGATCTGAATGTACAGTAGAGTCTCGCTTATCCAACATAAACGGGCCGGCAGAACATTGAATAAGCGAAAATGCTGGATAATAAAGAGGGATTTATGTTATGATTTTACAAGTTAAGCATCAAAACATCATGTTTTACAACAAATTGACAGCAAAAGCAGTTTAATACATGGTAATGCTATATAGTAATTATTTTATTTACAAATTTAGTACCAAAAACATTGCAATGTATTGAAACAGCTGTGGCAGGACGCATACTGAGTTGGATAATACAGAATGTTGGATGAGCAAAGGTTGGATAAGCGAGACTCTACTGTGGATTTCCAAATTAATATCTGTCCTTAACATGATGGTTTTCTGCATTTATAGCTACAATTATTTCTTTTTTTTCCAGTCCTTCCCAGTGCTAAAAATATAGAGGGATGTTACCTAATGTTCCTCCGCAGACAAGAAGTTAAAATGAACCCAATAAGTAATCCCTTATGGCCTGCCTAATAGTTATTTTTATTTAATTCCACTTTTCTATTACATTTTGTGATTTCCTCTTTTCCATTACATTTCCAGATATTTCCATTACATTTTATGAATGCAGAAAATTGATTTTTATATACAACAATCCCTCTACATTTGTAGTTTTGACTTTTGCAAATTTGATTGATTGTGAATTTGGTTTAAAATGTTCTTTCTGGGAATCTTTAGATCCTTTGGTGCAATCTGTGATCATCTTCTGCTGGAAGTAGACCACAGTGTCACACTAGAGACCTTACAATTTTCTATGGAGATCACTGTTCTAGAAATCTCTAGTTTCTCCAGTGAGATTTAGTGGTCAATGTCCAATGGAAGTTGACAATAGAGTGATGCTGTAGGATCTAGAAATTCCTAAAGATATGTTTTCTCAAGTAAAAGTCAATTGTCTCTCTATTTATGCTGGAGGACTTAGAGATTTTTCGAGATAACACTTCTCTAGGAACCTCTCGGTCTCCTAGCACAATTTCTATGTTCAGTTTCCAATGGAAATCAAGCATAGAGTAATGCCGGAAGACCCAGAAATTCCTAAAGATTGCCTCATGTTTAAAAAACCCAGCAATTTCTTTATTTGAACTTTTTGACTTTTACAGGGGTTTTGTGTCCCTGACATCAGAACATATGGACTGTAAATCTAAATCCTCTTCAGCTATTTGGTCACTTGCTTTCAGTAAACAGCCCAAAAAATAGATAGTGACAATGTCAAGAGGAAAGATTTTTAATGTGTGGAAGTCTTCCTCATCAGGAGAAGCAATAAGGTTTACAAATTATTTGGAGAACTTCATATGGCAGAAGAGGCTCTTAAGTGGTGTACTCCTGTCCTCAAAATCAGTTATCAAATGCTTCTGCAAAGTTGCAGAAAATGTGGGCTGTAATCTATCTCACTTAGCCTTTCCTCTCTTGACACAAGGTCCTTTCAATCAAAGGGTTTTCGCATCATCTTCTAGCTGCCATAGATTGAATGTAGGACCTTTTGTATGGAAAGCATATCTTCTACCATAGAAGTACGATCCCTCTGTCATGTAGTTGAGCTCTGGGTCAACTGTTACTTCTTGGTGTTAACAAAATGAGGGCCTAAAAACAGTGAAACTGAATTGTTGAAATTTTCCAGCAGCATCTATATTGCATTATTTGAAATAGATGATATCAGTTAGCATAAATCATTTGTTTCTCTAGACTTTTTTTCTGAAGATCTTTTGTGTATATAGTTAGCACAGTTTAAACCCTTTTTTTAACTAGGAGGGTTTTTATTGCATCTTGTAAAGGACTTGACATTGATTTCTTAAGATTTCTTACCAACCTTGGGGAAAGTAAGACATGCAGGGTACAATTTAAGTGGAAAGCTGATGTCTTGTGGGACTTTGCTACAAATAGTGCATCACCCAATTATATGAATAATCTTCTCCAAAGATTTCCTAGTAGAGACACTTTAGAAACTCAGTAGGTCCCTTTGGCTATGTGGTTATCTGCACTTAAGGCTGTTAGACATTTTGTCCCCCGATGAGGGTTCCCAGCTCACTAGACTTATAGGACTTTTTGTAACGGTGATTCACATGGACAATTAAAAGGATTATGTCCATTCTACAGTACTTATATAGGTTTCTTAAGAAAAAAAAATAGAAACTTGATAATTCTGATTTCTCACTTGATTTTTCTTGTTTTTCTTGTTACATATTTGCTTCTGTCCTCCATTATTGAAGTCATGTGTTATCACAGATGATTCTGGACAAGAGAGGCTAAATCGGTGTTCTTCACTTGTTACATATCATCTAGGGATACTAGGGTTTTGTATTAAAGAATAAAAAAACTAATGTTTTGATGACAGACTAATTTTTTCTCATTCTCCTTGACAAAGAACAAATACTGGGAGGGATCCTCCTCAACTTCACCAGGATCACAGCAACAGTAATGTAAATAATAAAGGATCATAGCTAATTAGCTGTCCAGAAATGTGAAAGGCAGTAACTGATGAGTGGCTAACATTAGCTAAACAAACCCTTTCTGTTTTGAATAGGTAGTCATCTGGGTCTGCAAAATTTTAAGTTGAATTATACTATGGGAGATACAAAAAAAGATCTTTGCTGATTTTTTTTAAACCCAGGGTCAAGCTGGATTAAAAGGCTTACCCTGAGTTAAAATGCATTAGCCTGTGTGTGTCAATTGAATACCCCAGGCTAATTCAGATGCTACACTGGATGCAGTGTGGATGCTGCCTGAGACACACTCTGCTGCTGAATCAAGACATAACATCGGGGCATAACATCACTTCCAGTTTAATTTTTGTCCATTTTCACCTGGGTTTTTCCCCCCAGGATGTGGGAAGGAAGTAAGCATATTTCAGTATTTCTTAACCCCTTTTGGTCTAACCCACTGAAATGAACCCAAAATGAAAATGAAAATGAGTTCTGGGTCCTTTTGAAGATACTTTGGGGGAATCAAGAGTCTCCAAAAGGAATTCAGGAAGATTTGTGGTTCTTGAGGTTCCCTACTCCTGATCTAAAAATGCCCCACAAAGTGAATCAAGCGTTCAGTAACCTCCTTGTGCTGTCACACAAATAAATATATATACCCGATTTAAATCACAAAGAAAAACATTTTACTCAGAATTAGTGGGTACTGCCAACAAAGTCTGAGTGTTGAGATTGGACTGTAGAGATAAGGATTTTAATCTCTGCTTATCTGTGGAAATCCTCTGGGTGACCTTCGGCGAGTAAGTCTTTCTCAATCTCAAAGGAACATGAAGGCAAACTCTCTCTGAACAAACCTTGCCAAGTAAACATGCTGATAGCTAATTCACATCAGGGCCACCATAATTTGGATACAACCTGAAGATAAACAACAGTGACAATGGTTGCATCTTGAGGAGGTTCACAAGGATGTGACAAAATGGACAAGAAAGTTGCAGGCCTTCTGATGTTGTTCACCCATAGCTATAAAGCTTGGCTATTTTCTTGGCTAGAATACATCTCTGTATCTCTCTATGCTCCTCTTTGTCCAGAGTTTTGACCTCATATTCTCTATTCTTCTTCCACAGATCCCCGTGATGGGAGGAGCCTTTATGGACTCACCCAACGAGGACTTTAGTACGGAGTATTCCTTGTTTAATTCCTCTGCCAATGTCCATGCAGCGGCCTCAATGCCAAGCCAGCCGGAAGAGGCATCACGTTCCTCAAACGATGCCATATTGTTATGGATTGCCATTATAGCCACGATTGGGAACATTGTAGTTGTTGGAGTTGTGTATGCCTTTACCTTCTGAAAAGAAAGGAGGATGGTCTGAAGAGGTGGAGGATTGCTTTGCTGTCTTTCATGAGTGCAGACGTGTATGTGTGTGTGAACAGACAGAGCGATAGATAGATGCGCACATACCTGTACAAAAATGTATATCTTTATAAATACATGTGGGTAGATGCTGTTTATTACCTAAGACAAAGTTTAAACCGTTGGCAAAACTTCCCAGAAAATATTTGGAAGCTTTTGTAAATGATGTCAGGGATGAAATGCCTAATATATAGCATTAACCTGATAAATGTTAATTTTCTGTAAAAGGCCCATGTGAAAGAAAAGAGAGGAGTGTTTGGTTTAGAGTCTGTTTTTTACTGGTTGGTAAATTTGTTGCTCTTTTTCTCCTCTTGCAGTGAGATTGTAGTATCTAATCTACTGCTGAATTGGAATTCGAAACATGTATTTGTGCAAATGTGCTACACCTCTTACATTTTCTGCCGACCTTATTCTCTTGCTCTCCAGAGACGAAAAGCAAGTAGGAATCTAAATCTGTTCTGCTTTGTTTTAAAAGGGAAGGTTATGGCAAGGTGGCATGTAAGAAGTGGCATTTTCTTTTGTTCTTTACAAAGCCCTGCAAGTCAAATGCACGTTATTCACAGAAATGTCATAATCGATCTGTTTGATATTGGAGGCCTGGTTTAGTTTGCTCACGCTTCACCTATCAGAGAAAGAAAATGGCACAGATTTCTAGAAAGCTTCTCCATCCAACTGTGTAAATTTAAACTAGCATATAGTCAGTGTTCCACATTCACTGGGGTTGGGGACACAGGACCTCTGCAAAAGTAGAAAAAAATGCAAGTAAAAATCCCACTGGATTTTTTTTAACTTGAAAAACTATCTCTCTGGGAAGCTTTTAGTCCTCCAGCATGACTCTAAGGTCAACCACCACTAGAAAGACTTGGAGATTGGGAGAAAGGCATTCTCTCTAATAAGATATTGCTCTAGGTGCTCCAAAGTGACTAGAGAACATCAGGCAGAAGATGATCACAGGGTTACACTGTAGAGCAGTGGTTCCCAACCTGTGGGCCACAAGACCTAAAATCAGGTTCACGAAACATGCGGATAATAACATAGTCCAACCAATAAAAAAACTTTCTTGGTGTCTTTGTTTTTAGGTCTATTTCTGAGGTTATTTGGAGTGCTGATTCAGACAATTGCATTGGATAGACCACATCAACTCTAGATTATTAAATATGGTTTTCTGTGGGCGAGGAGATGGTGACTACTGGATGGCATATGTTCTGTATCAGAAACTTGACCTGAGATGGTCTATCCAATGCAATTTTCTGAATTAGCACATCAAATAACCAAACCTAATCTAAAGTTCACCAAAAACTGATTTGTAACCCTTTTGGTACTGATGTTGGAGAGTGGTCCCTGGTCAAAGTGGTCCTTGGCCAAGTGGTCCCTGGTCAAAGTAATCCCTGGTCAAAAAAAGCTTGGGAACCACTGCTGTAGAGCTTAAACATTCTTAGAGAACATTTTAATCAAATCCATGAATAATCAAATCTGGAAAAGGTAAACTCGTTAATATGGAAGGCCAATTTTACTGGGTGTAAAAGCATCATGATACTGGGCCCTATATTGAAGCATATGTTTTCAATAATATGTTTGGTAGGTCATCATTTTGCTCTTGAGTGGGGAACATGATGACATTAATCTAAGAAGTTCTGTGCATATGCAATGGTTCTTCTGATCACCATTAAGTGCACTCAAGTTTCTGTCTGTATGCAATACAATATGGAGTCTGTTCGGTACTAGAGATCTATAATAATTTAATTTTTGGTTTCCTCAGTTTCGTAGAGATAGATGTCAAAGCAAAAGGTCTTCATTACCATATTACTCCTTTAAACAGGAGTGCTTCTTGGTGGAGAATTCCTAGTGCTACTAATCCAATATCATTCTGCAGCTATTCCATCTTTTCCTCTATAACATAATAAAATTAAAAGTTGCGGGAAAACATGGGAAGGTTCCAAATTGAAGTTGATGGCATCTGGGTCAGTAATAAAATTACATGAATAAGGCAGGATGATCAAATCATGAGAATTTCCTCTGGAAGCACCACAATAGTTTTAAGGAATGTCTGTCCTGTTACATACCATGAAGGAATTGGAGAAAGTGGGTCAAGGAAAGTTTTACCTCTTTCCCCTGCCTTTGCTGTGTGCCCTGTTTAAAAATTAAACTTGGGAAAATTTCCTTCCTTGGACTACAACTGCCAGAATCACAAAAGTAGAAATTATTATTTTTTGCATGATAAAGAAGAAGGTCATGACAGCAAATGCTCTAAAAATATCCTTCCAGTTTTTTGCCATTTATTCTTCTGCCATAGCCAAAAGTGAACCTTAACATTTCAGTGAAAATATCTTACACTGAAGTCTGAAATTTTATATGTGATGAGACATTTGAGACTAGTAGTCTAATCCTATAGATTATTTGCAGAAGTTCAGTGGAAAAATATACCCTAGGGCTATAATCCTGAACATCATTATTGAGGAGGCAGGATCCATGGGATGCAGTGAATAAACACTCGTAGGACTGGGTGGGCTATGATGCTTCTTACCCAAATTACTACAAAGGTAAAGGTGTTATCTTTTTTAAAAAAAAATCCTAAGAAAGTGCCATTAGATACAAAATGACAGCTAACAGCTATTTATAGCCAGTTTCTCAAATACACGGACGGAACTGTGTAGCGATTGCATTGTAATTACTGTACATATTTCCACAGTTTAGATTTTAGGTTGCTACTTACAACATGCCAAAACAGGAACTGTATTGTCAAAGGGCAGTGTTTTGACTATAATTTACAAATGTTAATTCTATGGGAAAATGCAAATTTAGAAGAAATGATTCTAGATCAAATAGAAATGCAGTACCTCACACCGTAGTGAGGAAGACCGGAACTGGATCAGCATATTTCCATGGCTGTCCTACTGTCCAGGTGTTGATGGTTAATGTTCAAGGCTGCTGGTCTTTTTTCTTATGCTTTTTTCTGGGGATGGAAAAGTCTTGTCAGTTTTACTTTTTCCCACACTTCTTTTTTAAAAGTAGGGTTCATCTTATTCTGAATATGAAGACTTCTGTGCATTTTTGGTAACTTCCTAAAATCCAGTTGTAACAAAGGATATAGCTACTATGTAGAATTAATGCACCACTTTAATTACTGTATTTTCCGGCGTAGTAGACAACTGGAGGTATAAGACGACTCCCAACTTTTCCATCTAAAATTGAGTATTTAGGATATACTTGCCATATAAGACCACTCCTCTTTTTTTGTAGTAGCTTGAGAGAGCTTTCTTCTCTCTGGGCTTGAGGGTCGTCTTCTGCCGGAAGCTCATGGTGAGGGAAAGCCAGCATAGGCCTGCGACAGCGGCAAAGACAACCCAGCAGTCTCTATGGCAATGCAGCTTGCCGCTCCTGCTCCCTGCACCCTCCTTCCCCCCTCCGCTCTCCTTCTCCCTCCCTCCCTCCCTCCCTCCCTCCCTCTTTCCCTTCCTTCCTTCCTTCCTTCCTTCCTTTCTTCCTCCTTCTGCCACAACTGAGGAGGATGAGAGCTTTCTTCGTTCCAGGTTTGAGAGTCCTCTTCTGCTGGAGACTCATGGCAAGGCAGAACACTAGGCTGGTGGCAGCAGGACAGCCCAGCGGTTTCCATGGTAATGCGGCTTGCTGCTCCTCCTCCTCAAGTGCTCCCTCCCTCTGCCCTCCTCCTCCTCCCTCTGCCCTCCTCCTCCTTCTCCTCCTCAGACCACACTGCTCAGGACACTGAAGTTGGAGGAGGTGAGCAGCTGCCCTTCCACTGGAGCAGGGCACTCGAAGCAGCTACAACTGCTGTACCCCTCTGGTACCATTTGGCTCCCTCTGTCGGGCTTCAGTCTCCCTGAGGGGCTCCTCCACTCGATGCTCGCCTCAATGGAAGAGGAGGGGGAGGAGCAGGAGGAGGAGGAGGTGGTGGTGGCGACATGAGGGACCCACTGGGCGATGGAGAGGAGGAGGAGGAGAAGCTACCAGGAAGACTTGAGGTTTTTACTTGGCACCCTTGCCAAAGTAAGCACCCACCCTTTAAGCAACATTTACTCATCCCTTCCAAAATATTTAATATAATAAATTTTTTACCCAGCATATTAGATGACCCCCGACTTCTGAGAGAATTTTCTAGGGTTAAAAAGTTGTCTAGTACGCCAGAAAATATGGTACCATGATTCAAGGCTATGGAATCATGGGAATTGGAATTTTATGGTCTAACTTTCTCTCCGACAAATAGTGCTGATACCTCATCAAACTCTAGCTCTCAGGATTCCATAGCACTGAGCCATGGCAATTAGAGTGGTGTCAAACTGCATTAACTCTACAATGTAGATGTACCCAAAGTGTTCACGTCTCTGTCCTTGCCAAACCAGTGGGCACCATTTTTCCCTTCATTGAAAGATCCTTGTCATACACCAGAAATATTAAAGATGAGGTATGTCTTAGAAAACAAAAAATAGCAGTTCAGCTGTCACTTGGTTGAATACACCAACCTTCACAACAAGACATGTGAACAATAAAACTCAAAGCCCAGGCCCAATATGGATGAATTTGTCTCTTTAGAGTTTTCCCCAAAAGGTCTTTCCCTCCTAAATAGGATAAAATTTGCAATTTTTTGCAAATTTTAATAAAAGCTTGTAAAAGTAAACTGAGTGGAATGTTTCACCTTCTGATTCATCCACTCCATTGTACATCTTTGATTTGTACTGGACAGCCTATCAAATGGAGGTTGCTCATATCACCAGGGGCTTTAGTGATACAGAGAAAGTAAATCTGTTCTGGAGGTTATTCTGGACTTCAGAGGCTTAATCCAAGATGTCCAGTGTATTTAGGTATAAGGTGCTATGTTTGGACAGCCATTCAAATGGAGAAGTGGGCCCTTTGAAGTATCGTCATGTTTCTATATGTTTGCAGTGTTTTCCAACAGGCTTTGAGTCTAGTTTTGAGCCTATTATACAACCTCAAATTTCCCTTATTCCCTTGCCACTCTCCATTTTTAGAACACTAATGAAAAGCAAATGAGTTCAATTTCACACCTCAAAATGTTTTCCAGGCATATAGCTACATTCATTATTAGATCAATTAGGTATTCATAGGGGTTTTAGCAGCTCTGTAAATATTCCATAGCTATGCCTTTTCTTGCAATGAAAATCATTTTTCCATGGTCAATAAGCGGGGGGAACCATTCTGCCATGTTTGCATCTAGTTATACTTATTTTTACCCAGTGGGTTTCTACTGACGCTTGACGAATTTGCCATTAGAATGCTTTACTTTAATTAATTTCTGGAATTCAGTCTAAGCCCAGTTAGTAGTGTTTGTGTTTGTCTTCCAAAGTTTTGAAGCAATCATTGGTGTCAGATAAAAGAGGACTAGAATAAATGTTGGGAAACATTTGGAAATAAGATATTTTAATATGCTCTTAAAATACAAAAAAGGTTCCAAAAGATAGTAACAATATATTATAATTAGCAGTATTACCCATAATGTATTGCTTCCAGCATCATGACAAAAAGAGGGAATTGTATAACACAAAATATAACTTACCTTCCCCAATTAGTGCAGTTATATCTCTTTGGCTCTGCTAGTTTCCATATTCATATTCCATTGTATCGTTAATTATTAATATTATAACTTGATTGCTGCTATTCTCTTGAGAGACAGATTTCAATGGCTGTTGACTTTGACATTAACAAAGAGTGCATTTTTCCCAGCATGCTCTGGTACAATCTGTCGTGTTTTGTGCTGGGCTTACAATTTATGGTTTCTGGTCCAATGAACTGTCTACTATGATTCTCATTATCATTTGTGGTTGAGACTAGTGCTTATGTCATTGTGAACTCTTGTTGTCCGGGTCATGTTCAGTCACAACATGTCCAGATCTTTGAGAAGTGTCCATTGAAGTCTGGTTCCTTCTGGAAGGACTGTCATCTTTAAATTTATTTATTTATTTATTTATTTTGGACATTTATATGCCGTTCTATCTCAACCTCCGCAGAGGGACTCAAGGCGGCTAACAACCGGCACAGCATGGTGCCCACAACAAAAAGCATAAATATACACATTTAGTAAAAACAATATAAAAACAGTATAAAAACATTCAAACAATCACCGATTTAAGTCATCATCCTGAAAGCTGTCAGTCCAAGTCCATTAAAGCCGTAGCTTTGCCAGCCAGTTAGCCTAGTCTGCGAAGGCCTGATGCCACAGCCAGGATTTCACTTGTTTCCAAAAGGTCGGGCGAGATGGAGCCAATCTAATTTTGCTTGGGAGGTACTTCCACATCTGAGGGCCAGCACAGAGAAAGCCCTGTCTCTTGTCCCTACCAACCGCGATTGCGATGGTGGGGAAACAGTGAGCAGGGCCTCCTTGGACAATCTTAGAATCCTAGGTGGATTGTAGTGAGAGATACATTCAAACAGATAAACTGGGCCAGAACCATTCAGGGCTTTGTAGGCCAAAACCAGCACTTTGAATTGTGCTCGGAAGCTGATGGGCAGCAGGTGGAGCTGGTGTAGCAAGGGCGTTGTGCACTCTCAATAACCCTCTCCCGTAAGCAACCTGGCTGCGGCCCATTTGACTAATTGAAGCTTCCAAACAGTCTTCAGAGGCAGCCCTACATAGAGTGCATTGCAGTAATCTATACGGGATGTAACCAGAGTGTGGACCACTGTGGCCAACTTCGACCTCCCAATATACGAGTACAGTTGGCGCACAAATTTTAATTATGCGAAAGCTCCCCTAAAAGTACAAAGCATCTCCCATTTTCGTATTTTAAATTTTGTTCTGGCAGGGAAGTAGATGCAAAGGAAGAAGCAGGATAGAAGGGTGAAAATGAGTAACTGCTAGGAGAACAGACATTCATTCATATAATGTAGATATCACCCTTTATGGGTGGTGATGAACATGTGAGTTTTGAACGTTCAAGGGAGGTGTGGTTGGAATCTTCCTGGCCACAAGACTAACATAATTGCCCTAGAATAGGTGGAAGCAGCAGAAATGAAAGGGTTATAAACTCTGCAGTCATATTGGATGTAAGGTGTTGGAAAAATGCTCAAAGTTGGTGGTTTTGCCAGTTCCTTCACCAATGCTGCAAGATTTTGAAAAAAATGCAGCTGCTAATATAATGCACTGATAGCATCCCAAACTTTATTCTCTTTGGAGACAACTTCCTGTTCAGCTTTACTATCCTCGAAATGACTGCAAATTGATTTTCCATGAGCTGGCGGTGATAAAATTAAAGCCAGCTTCCTTCTCTGATCTGTTGTATCTGTTTTCTTTTCCTATCAAAGCTCCCTCTTCAATATCCTCAAGAGATTCAAGGCCCTAATAATTTCTCCATGTTCTCCTGCAGGGAATTGAGAGTTATTAATGTGTAATGCTCTTCTCTTCACACCATGTCCCTGAAAATGTAATTTTGCCCAGTTTCCTGCAGCTAATCAGAGAGGCATAGAGGTCTGTGAAATGAATTAGGAAGGATAACAGCTTTTTAGCAGGAGTTTAAGTAGGGCAAAGTGAAAGCACCAGGAATAAAACTTTTTTTCATTTTCCATTGGGAACACTTACAGTTTGAAATGACATCTCAACTTTTTGTTGTTTTGTACACCTTCAAGTCATTTCCAGCCTATGCTGACCCTAAAGGGAACCTATCATGGGGGTTTCTTGGCAAGATTTGTCCAGAGAGTTTGCCTTTTAGCCTCAGGGGCTAAAAGAGTGTGGCTTTCCCAATTCACCCAATATTTATTTATTTATTTATTTGCAGTATTTATATTCCGCCCTTCTCACCCCGCAGGGAACTCATGGCAGATTACAATGTACATATACATGGCAAACATTCAATTCCATAGACACACAACATATATAGACAGACACACAGAGGCCATTTAACATTCCAGCTTCATGATGGTATTCTAGCCACCAGGGGAGCTGTCACTTCACCATCCACTTGTGACACTGATGGAGTACTTCCTCATTCTTTGCATGCTTGCTGGAGATTTTAATGGTGTCATAAATTAGTTAAATTGGCCTCCCTGCATAAGCAGTACCCACATTTCCTACTTGACAGATTCAACTGTCTTTCGGGCTGCAAAGGTCGACAGCAAGCTACACAATGGTAAAAAGCTCACTCTCACCCAGACTGGCCTCGAACTCATGACCTTTTGGTCAATAGTGATCTAATGCAGCTGACTCCCAGCCAGCTGCACCACAGTCCCGGTGCTATAGGTTTTCATGGCCAAGGAGGGACTCTGTCTCCAGAGTAATAACCCAAATGTGAAATCACCATGCTGATTGTCTTAATTTTTTTACTTAGTGTTAACCCATATTTCTAAAAATATATATGTTTGGCTGTAGTTGTGTGGCAGAAAATATATGACAACATGCCATGATGTAAAACTGAAAAGATCAAAATGCT